AAAGAAATGGCTACATCATCATTTTTTTAAGAACTAATTAAATAATTTTATTTATTGATCTCTTGAGTTCCAACTTTGAAATCAATATAGAGAAAAATTAAATTGTTTAAATGAATCAGAATTATATGAGAAGAAGTGTGCTCTTAAGATTTTTATTTTTATTTTTATTATAACCTCTTAGAAAATTGACTCGTTAGATTGCCTCAATTAAGATTCGATGGACTTTATCAAAATATAATTAACTCGATCAATCATGGAAGTTGATTACTATATTAATATACATGTTTTTTACATTAAAAAAATTATAATGGTGAATTAAAAATTAATATATATATTTAATAAAATAAATTAAAAATTATATATGACCAGAAATACAAGAAAGAGTTGTCAAAGCTAACCAAAGACTTAACAAAAAAAATTCTTTATTTAATTAATCAATAAAAAAATCATAGGGAAGTGATTTAATAAAATTCAAAGAAAAAGAATTGTGTAGGGCTTTATAAAAAGAACGCCAGCTAATATAAAAAAAATTGTAATTTTATTTGAAAATTAAGGAAAAAAATAATGAATTTTTAATTTAAAAATACAACAAAAAATTATAATTAATTTATTTCAGTTAAAATTGAACAACCGGCAAGCTAACATGACACACATATACTTAACTAATCCATTTTAATTAAAGTTTACAAAGGGAAAAAAAAAGATAAGATAAAATAAAATATAAAAAAGAGAGTTTTAACTTTTTCTTTTTCTAGTATAGAGGTAGGCAAGTAATTGCCTCTTTTTTAAAAAAAAATAAAAAAAAATAATGTATTGTTTACTATAATAGATTAAACATCATACACTTACCTAGTTTTTAACCCTTATAATAGTGGTTGAAGAAACATGATGGATAATTTTTTATCTACAAAACTTGATTTTAATCTATTTTTACCTAAAAACACCACAACTTTAAACAACCAATCCTCTAATAAAAAGAAATCCCAAAATCAATAAAAAAAACAAAAAGAAACAATTCAGTGAAAAAAGTCCTCACTCAATTTTTTTCTTTTTTTTCTAACAACATGAAACTTCAAAAACACCTTAATTACATTTTTTTTCTAACAATATGAAACTTCAAAAACACCTTAATTACATTTATTTTATCTATGAAAATACTTTGACAACAAATTTAACTATTATTATCATTAAAATCATCAAGTAACTTCTTTTTTTATTTATTATTTTTTAGCGACTTTCTTTTATCTTTTAAATATAAAGACTAAAATATTAATAAAATAAAATTTTATATTAAAATATAAAATTATAAAACTAAAATAATTAAAAATGATTTTGGACAATTTTTAAGGATGAAAGGTGCTGTCACTATTTCTTTTTAAGAAAAAAGGATTGTCATTATTTTTCTTTTTTAATTTTTATCCCTAGACTCTAAAGCTTTTATAAATAATAAAATTAATTTTTTTATATAAAATTAAGCACCATTTAAAAGCTACGAATATTTTTTAGATCATAATAACTTAATATAAATAAAATAAAAATAATTTATAAAATCTAATTCTGAAAAACACAATATCAAAAAAATTAAATTCAAGCCCGTGAAATAAATTTCTCCATAATAAGCGAAACTTGACATAATAAACTAATGGGTCAACCAACTCTAATCAATAATTGCCGGCAACCACGACTGCAATTGTTTTCCAGAAACAGCTTTAACCACAGAAAATGTGGGTCAACGATAGGGGCACAATAGTCATTGGAGATGCTCCTCCATTCAGACTTGATTTTGCCTTTTGCTTTAATCAAGGGAAAAAAACAAGGGGCAAAAAGAAAAGGGAGAAAAGGAGGGACAAAGGAAGAGTCAATCTGTGTCAGCTTCAACAGCTAAGTAATGAAAATACCAAACAAGACCTTTACTTGTCATCTACAACACTTTCCGGCATCTCCATCTCCTATATATGTTTTATTTTTTTGTCTACAATAATCAAGATTCTCACAATTCAGCTCCTGCTTTCTTCTCACAGGCAAGTACCCTCTCCTCCCCTCTCTTTTCTTTCTCTCTTTGTATCATGACATGTAGTTTGTTTCATCTTTCTGTGTTTTTTTTTTTTAATTTACCTGTACCAAATTAACTTTGAAACTTTCCTCTCTTTAATTTCTGAAGCAGGTCAATACATACATATTGAACAAATCCAGCCATAGCTCACATGGATCCAAGTACTGAGCACCCTTTCTTTATTGCTTGTTTTTCTTGATTTTCCAGCTTGTAATCTACTAGAACGAGGGGAGAGGGGCATAAAATGCAAACAGACCATCTGGGACTACTAGTTTGTTTTCTTTTATTAACCACTATACCACAATTGGGTTGCTTATTTAAGCCAGCATGAGATGTAGAAATTTAGTTTACAGTTGTCCGATTGTCATGGTGGATGATGACGTTGCGTCATCCCTTATCAATATAGCACAGAGTTTAGGTATAGAAGGTTTTTTTTTTCATTTTTTTTTCTCATTTGCGTTAATGTGCTGAGAAACAAAAAGTTTGTAGGAACATCATGCTTAGAATTTATTTTGATCCTGTAAATTTTCTACTAGGAGGATTTTGGTTATTGAATGCCAACACCGAATTAAAGTAGAATTAACTCAGGCACTTCATGACATAAGTGCAAACTTGTTGGTGCTGCAGATGCTGCCATTGAGGAGAGAGAGGGTTTCAGGAATGGCGTTGAGTTGGTGAAATCTGTCTCTGATAAGCACATTGATCTCCTCAGGCCATCTGCTCGATACTATACAGCATCAAAGGGTACTGCTCTTATTCAGACATGATTTATGTTCCATGAGTTCTTTTTCTTTTTTTACAATATAACATCTTATCATGTAAATTGCATAGACAATGTTTTGCTGGTTACTGTCACGCTTCCTACTTTATGCATTGATGATCAAGTCTCTGTCCTCCCATCTATAGACGTGACTGAGCTAGAATGATAAAATTTTCTCCTTTTATGCACTCATGGCTGTATGTTGATATTAATCAGAGGATTAGCAGCCCTTTATTTCTCTTTTTCTTTTCTTTTCTTTTTTTCTCTGGAGATGCAAGTCCGTGGGCTATGAATATGAAGAACTCTGATATTTTTGGGATTTACTTCTTTTGCATTAGGTGCTAGTCTCGCTTTTTCTAAACATCAATTATTTTTAGGAGCCATTGTCTCTTCAAACTATATCAGGGTTATTGAATCCTGCTGCATTTTCATTTTCTACCTCCTTGTTGATTTAGTCTCTTTTAAATAGTCTTCAATTTTCTTCTTGTTTTTTTTCTTATAGCACTCTTGGGTGTTTGATTTGTGTACTGTATTTAATTATGTGTCTCATCATGTTACTTTATGTGGTGGATTATGTTCCAGTTGTATTTATATTTTATGTCAAAGAATTGATGTTTGCACTATTAATTGCTTATCCAAACTCCTGAGAGACGTTCTGATCTGCTGATGGTAGGGCAAGCAACAGATGCTGCAGATGGAGAAAAAGGAAAATATACTCTTATTAGAGATCCTGGGGATTTTCAAGGAATTTATGACAAGCCCCTTCCATGCTTTGGCTGTGGGGTAGGATGGTTTTCGTGAGTATTCTTCAAACTACTGTTTCTCCCTTCCATTACCATTTCTCATGTTCTGATAGTTATCTTTTTGTTTTTTTTGGCAGTTTTCTATTGGGATTTGTGTTCCCATTGATGTGGTATTATGGTACGTTTCTTTACTTTGGAAATTACCATCGAAGGGATCCAAGGGAGCGTGCAGGCCTTGCTGCTGCTGCAATTGCTGTAAGCTTTCTTACGCTCTCTCTATCAAAATAAATACTGTTGTTAGTGAAGCAACAAGAGTCTGTGTCTGAATAGCTTTAGGATGATATTGATAATCAGATTCTCATCACTGTCTTCCTTTGTCACTGACTTGATATGTTAAACAGTAACATTTTTAGTCTTTTTTATGGGCACTACAAGCTGCACCTTGTTGAAAGTCTTCACAATTTTGATCCTTGATTTAATGCTATTCCTTTTGCAGGCAATGGTGTTTTCTGTCGTGTTGATGGTCATAGCAGCTTATTTTTCTCTATTTTAGGCCTGGTAATCCACTTCCAAGTTTGTTAGGCTTCACATTTTCAAAACAAAACAGAATTTCTTGCATGTGCAATGTAGATAACATGTCAAAGCGGAAGAGCAACAAAGAATATGTTGATACGAGATCCTTCACAGATGGAGATACCTTCATGGCTACACTAAAACATATACAAAATCTTAAAAACATTCTTTCCCCTTCTGCTGGCCTAGACATATGTAAAGGCTCGAGCAGAGAAAATTCTCAATTAGCATGAAATTTACTAGTGAATTTATGAATACAGCAGTGAAATTGGATGCTTTGTTTGTATGTAATACATGTTACGATGCCTCAAAAGGAATAAGTTTGTTACTTTATGGTGCATGCCCATTTCCTTTAAAACGTTAAATGGAGCGTAATTCCTTGCACTTTGATGTTGCCTTCCTTGGAAGGCTCAAAACTAGCCAATTCTGTTATCTAGAGCCTCCTTGGGAGGCCGATTATGGTGATGAAGATAACAAAGAGACCGTTTATGCTTGTATAAAGTATTTACGGTATTAAGGGAACACTCTTGGATAATGATTTGATACCATAAACAGCTTGAACTCGTTTTCTTCAGCATGTGTCTCTTATTTGATGACAAGACACATCGTTTAATCAATTTAACACCGGGACTAAATCCAGCCCTCCAAATCAGTTAAAAACATATCATTCACATCAGGAGTAGAATGCTTAGTATTATGGTGTAACTATTTGCTTGCAAATAATTTTTTATTTTTTAAAATTTTTTAATATTAACACATTAAAATAAGTATGAAGATTCACAAGAAATCTATTCTCATTTTTAATATTAACACATTAAAATCAGTATGAAGATTCACAAGAAATCTATTCTCACACAAGCAGACGAATATGTGATCTTAATGAAAAAAGTTCGTCTATAAGATTTTCTTTTCCAAAAAATAAATCATTCGGTAGCAATACAAGCCTTGTGGGCCTACATGTAATACGAAAAGTAATTGTAAGAATACTGCGCAAGCAACACAATAGAAGGGAAAAATCATAGGGAAAGCATCAAGCCATCTAAAATGGCAGTCCAGAGAGGACCTACGGCTCAAAATGATTCTTGATCGAATAGGAGGCTAATGAACAAATGCTGAAGGACTCTGTAAAGGAAAATCGCTGTGATAGGCGCAGTTGTCCGCTAGGAATTCTCTTCTACATGGCCCAAAAACTTGATTTCAATCTTTAGCTGCTAGATGAACATATTTGTCGTCAACTCTAAACCGGGAGCTCGAATTGATCTACAACAGCCCCCCAAAGAGAATAATCAGCAGTAATTAGAAATAGAAGCGAACGGGTAAGCATAGAAGAGGTGGCATAAAGTAAAATTCTTTTGAAAGGCTGACCTTTTGTTCAAGTATATTATCCAGTTCGGTTTCATCTTTTGCAATGCCAGATTCTTGGAGGGACTTCAGGACAAGCCTTTTCAGTTTCCTGATCTTCAGAACTCCATCATTCTGCATCATGCATCAAAAACCAAAATCTTAAATGTCAGCATTAGGATGATATTAAAGAAAGTAAATCGTAAGTCAATTCAGTATTAGTCATGTTTATGCATGCCATTAAAGTTTACTTCGATGGTGGCTGGCTACTTAATCCATGACGTATGATAAAATTTATATATTTGGCCCTGATCAACACGAGGTAGCAAATTGAAATGCAATTGAACTGGAAATGCAATGAAAAATATGATCAAGGATACATACAGATTTCAAGGCTGATTTAACCAGCTTCCTCCACTTTATATTCTTTTTATGATCTTCTTTCTTAGGGCTAGTAGCCTTGTCATCTTTAAGAGCATTGTGTTTAGCTTTCTTCAACTGAGTCTCAACATCATCGGATTTTCTTTCAACCTGACTTTTACCATTGCCCACTTCATTTGCAGCACCATCCTTTGTCTTATTCCCAGTGCCATCATTCCCAGATGCATCAACCTTTCTCTTCCTTTTTGAAGGCAACTTTCCGTTCTCTATTTCTGTGTTGGTATCTGCACAGTCAACATTTGGTCTATCCTGCAATTTTTGCTCCTCTACATGTTTATTCTCAATCAATGCAACCTTGGTAGGAGCATTTGAATCAAGAGCAGATTCTTCTGTCTGTTTAGGTTGTTGCTTGGCAGCTTGAAAAGCCCGGGCCTTTCCCCGGTGCTTCTTTCCATCAGCATGGAGAAGAAGAGCCTGCTTACTGGTAGCCTTGGTATTGCAGAGACTATAATTACAGTGTTGCACAGAAGTTGATGGCTTAGATGGAATCACTAGAAGAGATATAACACCAAGCACTTAAGAGGGAAGCAATAAAACTACTCTTTGACTTCCTATGCATGCATAAGAGAGATCAAACAATATTCATTAGAACAGAAAGTAACATAATTTTTAAGCACTACTGAATTATTGTCTTTAGATTTAGTTCCCCACTAAATATTGAACTAGATTATGCATGCAAACCCTGCCATGGATCCAGGCTTGCCTCTTACAATCATCTTAACAACTTTCTTTCCAAGAGAATTCCATTCAAACAAGTCTAGTACTTCATTACTTTGTAGGGGTGAGAGCTTCAAGTCGACCTGTTAATCAATCAACTCAGTTCCAGCTGAATCTGGAAATTATGATCAGTTTTGGAGAACCTACTTCACAGACTTCTAAAGTTTGTGCGAACTAGGCTAGATAAACTCAATCACTCAAAAGACTGAGCAGTAGCAGCAATACACGATATTTAAAAGTTAAAACCATCCCTAATCATGAAAAAACACCTGCAATAATTAATTAACACATTGTACAACACAGCTTTAAGATCCTAATTGTTCAAAAACATATGATTGACAAACATTATTTCCAGGTGAAAGATAAGCCATGAAGCTCTAATATCTCGATCCCATACATCATTTCACCTTTCTTTTACTTGTTTTACACAAGAAAAAACTCAACGTTGTCTTTGACGTTTGGCGAATGAATTTACCAATTACTGGCATTATCTTAGAAAACTAAAGTATATTTTAAGACGGAAATGCAAATCCCACAATATTTTCCACTTTTAAATTTCAAAATTTGACTTGGGAGGTGGCAAAAAATCAAGTTTATAATCAGTCCGACAGAATCCAAAAGGTCATACATCATGGGAGAACACAAACATACATGCATAAGAAAGGTAATAAAGTTTATAAAAGAACATACCTACAAAACCATGGTGGGCGTTCAGATAACCCAACATTGATATCAACATCGGGTTTTTGCTTTGCATCCTTGTTGGATTTAGGTGTTGCGCCATTTGAAGCTTTCCCTTGACCCTTTGGACCATATTTCTCCTGAGAATAAACAAAAAGCAATTCAGAACTCCCTTAATAAATTATTAGGAAAAAAAATCAAATATTAAAGATAGAAATGAGCATCGTTACCGCCTCGGTAATGCACTGAGTGTGGCCCTGAACGCTTTGCTTTCCAAATGTCTCTCCACAATCAATGCAAGATAGCTACACAATTTGAACATTCCAAACATACCAGAGTTTTTAATCTGTGACCAATATATATATTTTTTTTTAAAAAAAGGGGGAAGATGGAGAAGACCTTGGTTGCAGAACACATTCTGAAGTGATTAGGCAACTTGGGTTTCTTCAAGTTCTCTCCACAATCCTCGCACTGAAACCACACCATCTCTCTCTGTTCCTGAAGAATTGAAGGCCAAAGCAAGCAATCTCCTCTTTAGCTGCGACCTGGAGAAACTAGAAAGGGTTTTAAGTCCTTTATTAGGGTTTAATCATCAATGTCCTTGTTGCTGGCTTTTGCTTCTGGAAGATTCGGGGCTCCGTTTAACTCAAAACGCACCGTTTTGCTAACCCCAGCTGGGGAAACACGCCCGGGAATAACGCATTGACAAAAACTGTGGGTTTTTTAACGATACCAGTAAACCGTGGATTGTTATTGGAAAATTATTATTTTGCCCTTAAGTTGAATAAAAAAGTGAAATGAGGTGTTTTGGTCTTTATAATTGATGCATTAGTTATAAAAACTGTATTTTACAGTAAAAATACAGTTTTGTTTCTATCAAAAAATTATTTAGGGGTATGTTAATAGTTTCTTTTTGTTTTACAGTAAAAATACAGTTTTGTTTCTAGATTTAACAATGTTTCAAGCTGTTCTTCAAGAACTTTTTTAGTTATTTTAAAAACATTGAAAAAGTTAAAATATTTATTTATCCCTTCCTCACGTAAAAAAAAAAATTGTTGAGGTAGGGCTTTTATGATTTTTACACTTGAAATATAGTAGAAAAATTGTCATATCTTTATAAAAGATAAAAATCATGACATGCCTCTAAAAGCATTTGTGTACTTTTATATTTTATTTTTTGTGATTTTCAGGTTCATGAAAAGTATTATGATATTTTTATATTAGAAAAGAATTATTTTATTTGAAAAAGGTATTGGCATATAATATTTACGATCTAACAAGTAGGTGTTGTCCATGGTATTTGGATGGCGCGTTTGAACTTATCTGATGGCCAAATTTGCTCTTCCACCATATCATTGGATGTGTCGATGTATCCTTTTTCATAAGAGCATGTGTTAGTATATTATGGTCGGTTTCTTGCTGGTGGTTGTTTTTTTCTTTTCCTTTCTCTTTTTAAGAGAAAGTGCAACTTTATTTTCTTTCCTTTATATTTGTCAATTTTAGTCCTTTTGTTTTTTTACTATTTATTGTTGTCCTTGGTCTTATTATAAAAGTTTTAGTTATTTTCAATTTAGTCCTTAAATTATAATTTTTCATATTATTTTTTCCAACTCAGTCCTTATTATTTTGATTTATGATTTTTCCCTTGACTCTTTGTTAAAGTTTTGTTGGTTATCAATTTCATTTTTTAATCAAAGTTTATGTTTTTTATTGTTTTCAATTTAATTCTCATTCTTTTGATTTATTTTCCCTCTTATTAAAGTTTAATTGTTTTAAATTAATCCTCCAATTTAAAATTTCTTAATACCCTCTAATTTATTATTTTTTATTTCAATTTTCTCTTTCATTCTTTTAATCACAATTTTTGTGTGGTTTTTTTAATCATTTTTCATCTTTTAGCCTTTGATTTGATAGGGAATGGATGTTGGAGCTCTTTCACTTGTGATGCTTCTTATCTATTGATATGGTAACGAGTTTGATAACTTCATATGGTTTAGGATCCTTTTATTCTCAATTGCTTTTACAAATTTAACATTTAACATTACTTTTTTTTAAAAAAATATTTTGTAGTTATCTTCAATTTCTTCTTTATCGGTTTATCCTGGTCTTATGGCCTAGGCTATGGGTTTTGCAGAACTTTTCTGAATAAAAAATTATTAAAAATATTTTTTTTGTATTTAATTTTTTAATAATTTCTTTTATTTTATATAGGTGAGCTTTATTTTATAAAAAAATAGTTATTTTTAAAAAGCAGTTATTATATGTTTGGACTTGCATAATGTTTTATGTTTCTATTATTTTTTATTGATTTTAATAAGTAGATTTAATAGACACAAACGAGTAAATATTTTATTTTGCATGGTCAAATATCTTGGCTTACATTCATCTCTCATAATATTAGTGTTGTTGTTGTTATTATTTACGATCATCGCCATTGCCACCACCGCTATCATCACTATTACTATCTTCATAAATTATTATTATCACAATTATTATCAATCAGTGGTGGTATCATCATCATCATCATCATCATCATCTTTGTCACAACTCTACTAATATTATCATTTGTTATTATTACTAGCATCAACATTACTATTACTATTATTATTACTATTACTATTACCATTACCATTATTATTATTATTATTATTATTATTATTATTATAAAAATCATAAACTTGATTTGAAAGATAAAATTAAAAACTATAAAACTTTGATAAAAGGGAAAAGGAAAAAAATTAAAAAAAAAGACCAAATTGAAAATAATTATTATTACTATTGAAAAAAAATCATAAATTTGATTTGAAAGATAAAATTAAAAACTATAAAAACTTTTTAAAAAAAAAGCCAAGGAAAAAAAAGAACGAGGATGAAATCACAAGAAACAAATAAAATCTATAAGCAATCTTAAAAAAAATCAAAAGAGTGGGGACCAAATTCGAGAGATGAAAAAATTAAGACAAATTTGAAAAAACTTTCAATTTGAAGTGATTTTTCTAAATAAAACAAGAACTAAATCTAAAAAGAAAAGAAGTTTAAGAGCTACTATGTTTTTTTCCATAGGTAGCACAAAAATTAAGAGTTGTAAGAGAGAAATAAAGGGGAAAAAAAAATCAAACTGGTGCCAAACCAGACATCATCATCATATACTTACCGCTCAAGAAGGAAGAGAGCACTGAGACACGTCTAATGGCATGACAAAACATTTTTTTGCCACCATCACAGTCATTTACATGTGCCCCCCAAAATGGCAAATTGGCTGACTTGTGATGTGCATGCACCAACAATTTTTTGTTTTTTTATGTGTCAAAAGACAACATCATCCCCGAGACGAAACAACTATTGTTAAAAAACCATCATGAAATGAAGATTGGTCCCTGCAAACATGCTTTGAGAATTCAAGGGTGATAAAGTCATTACATTGTTCTAAAAAAGTGAAAAACCAATAATGCCCCTAGCCATAGTTAAGTTAAAAATTGCTTTTAAATATACGAAAATAAATCCATTGTACAAAAAGTTTATGAAAGGACATAGATGTCCCTTAACAATTAAAGAATGATAAAATGAACCCTATTAAAATACTAATTTACTCTACATGTCAATTATAATTGTTTTTTTTTCCTTACATGCAAGAACATAATTCAACTATTATAATCCTCATTAAATCATGCCTAATATGCAGTGTTTTTTCCACACAAATCAGCTTTTCTTTTAATATTTTATAATTTGATTATGTGGAATATATTTCTTTTCTTATATGCTTGAATCATTTAGAAAAGCTTGATCAAATGGAAAACATTTTACACTTATAAAAATATATTAATAAAGCTTAAAACACTAATGTTTCTTCATAGATGAATACATTTTACAATACTATCTTTGTTAATACATTAGGGATCCTAGCACTAATTATTTTTTCTTCATATTTTTTTTCATACATAATGAACTCAAATGATTATTTTTCTAGTAATGTATTTATCATGTAAAATATTTTTCTACTAATTAATTATTATTATTATGGGTTATTTCTTGAATTAAAAGACACCTATCATCTTATAAAACTATAAATTGATTGTAATTTATCAATAATAAATAGTTTTAATTTATTTTTACATCTTGATGATGATACAAAAATCATAGGGAATATTCTAAAAGGAATTATTCCTTAAGATTCTTGTATATCATTCATAATGCACTGGACGACCTTTACTTTCAAATTACAATGACTTCTCTTTTAATCGATTTCTTCAAAGGATGTAAATTTTCTCTTTAGTGAAATCTTGCACAAAGTCCCTTGTAGAGCTTTGAGGGTGTTGATGGGGGGATCCTTCAAAAATCAAGTTAATATGAGGTATTTTTATATAGTAAAAAGACATTAATAATGGTATTAATAAGTTTTTATAAAGATAAAGAAGAAGAAGGAGAAGGAATTGTGGAAGTTAAAGGCGAAGAAGAGGGATTGTGTTTATGTCCAAAAGTATAAGGTTTCAAACCCCTTTTTTGTATATTCCTGCCTCCTTTTATATATTACATGGCTTGACCTGCTTCATACAACGTAGGACGGATGAAGATGTAATCTCGTAATAATAAAATAATATTATTTTACTATTTGTGTTATCACATTTAATTAATGTAAGCATGAACCACTTGTTCATATTTAATGGGATGTAATGGATATCATAATTACTAGCCAAGGCCCGGGGTATGGGAGACTCATCATGGAGTTACCTTTTAGCTATACACTGAACCTAGAAGGAGTTGGGTTCAACTCATACGCTGAACTCAAGAAGAATTGGGTTAGCTTGTGATTGCACCCAAGAGTGGTTAGAGATGGGCACACCATAGCACGACATAGAGTTAGGCGTGAATTTGTCCTAGCCTAATGTAGAGTTGGGCACGGACGCGTCCTAGCCTGGCTTAGAGTTGGGTGTTGACGTGTCTTGGCCCAATGCAGGGTAGGGCGCAAATGCGTCTTGGCCTAACATATGTAGGGCACGAACGCATCCTAGCTTGACTTGGAATTAAGCACAGACGCCTCCTAATCCAACTTAGAGTTGGACAGGGATGTGCCATGGTCCAACCTAAGATTGGGCGTCAAAAAGACATAACCCCATTTTAGGTTAATACTATCATGTGATGACCTTTAAATAAGGAAGGTTTTTAGAAAACTATGACCCATCAGATCTCCAAACATCAAATTAAATATAGATAACATGCTATTTATTTTGTCCATTTTATAGCTTGACATATTATTTTTTTTTATATTTGAATGATTATCAATTATTTTTTGTATTACTAATACTTTTTAATTGTTATTTTTATTTATTAATACATTTTTGTTATCAACTGAAACAATATAGATAACAACGTGGGACTTCTAACTAATTTGAAAGGATAAATGAACAATATAAGTTCTATATATTGATCGGAGCAAATTCAAAAAAGTTGATCCATAATATATAGCTTAGGGATATCTATAAAGCCAAACAAGCCATATTAAGGATAAAAATCTACACTAAAATTCCATTTCTAAATACGGTAAGTCATTCGATCTGAGTATCATGCCTGATTATCACTTAATAAGTTTCT